ACTACTTTCTCAAAGTGCGTTAATTATGTTACATGTTGTTATATATATATATATATATATATATATATATATATATATATATATATATATATATTATATCTTGAATCTTCTGACTTACGTAAGTAAATTATTTATTTTAGGGTGATCGTGGTGATTGCACAACATCAGCAACATCGAAAAAAGAAAGCTGGATGTTACGGAAAAATTCCATTAGTTGTCTCGAGTCACAATTCGATTTCGAATTCGAAAAAATCTTTATATAGCCCGAACTAGTCCTACTCTCATTGCGAGTACGAGCCAACACTTAGGCCAAGGAAAATTAAACTGAAAAAATGCCTTTACTGCCTAACATAAAAAACAATAGCATAAACAGTTACAGGCTTCACAAATTTGCAACAAATACTTTGCCCTAACACTTAACTATTACTCACTAAAAGCCTATCGCTATGCACGTAAAACTTTTGGAACATGTTTGCTGCACCACGGACATTGACTAAGTGATACACTACCATCGATCGCCGACCAGGGTTTACTCAAGAAGCGCTGACGGCATTAAAATTGAGAGATAGATTAAAATTGATAGACCCTGATAAAAAAGTTATTGTACCTTGGTCATGGATGAAATGAAAATTAGGCAATTGACGGAATACCATGCTAGCAGCCAAAGGCATTATGTATATAACCAAAATGTCTTTTAGAACTGGCATAGTACTCCGTCAATTGTTTTATTTTCATTTCATCTATCACTAATATACAATACAATTTTTTGTCAGGGTTACTCTCTAGTCTAAGTTTTAAAACAGTTAACGCTTTTTTTGTGTAGCCAAGTCGTCGGCCATCAATTCTACATTAGTTTAGCAAAACATCTTTCTGGGGAATACTTAGCCCTAGGTAGATGTCACATTTTATTTTTAAGCAGCTGTCTGTTTAAAGTTCACTTTGTTCAACTGTTATACAATGCAAAACTTTTTTATTTTCCTAATTTATTAAATATTTTCCAGATAGTTCATTTAATAACTTTTCAAAATCAACAACTTTTTATAAATAGCGGTTTTGTGATTGAAGCCTTATAATAAAAACAAAAACTTGGTTAACACCATCTAATATGATAAACTGATAGGATTTTTGTTCCTTGAAAAGAGTTTCTGAAAAAAAAAACTATTATCAGTATTGTAGTTCTATTCTAAATTCCTAAGTAATATAACAATGTAAGACTGCTGAACCAGACTGATCTGATCTTAAACACTTGATGTAAATGGGTTAGTTTAAATTTGCTATAACTAAGATATGGAAAAGGTAGGTAACAAAAACCCATTCCAATTTTGCATTTTGTGTAACAGTAATTTTTTAAAACTTGATCGCAATTTTCCTCTCAATTGAAATTGTGTTTTATCTACCTGTACTGATTTTGAAATTACTAATAAATACTTTTTAAAATTAAAGTGCCTTATTATTTTAGTTTACTTTTCAAATAGTTGATTTAAGCTATCTTAACTATTCAACGACAGCCCACACCCACATTCTTTATAAGATCCACTAGCCATCCACGTTACGAGAGATTTAACTACAATATTCGTAAAGAGTTCTCTATAGAGTTATAGACATCTTTAACAAGGGTTAGTCACCGACCTAAAACCTCCACCAACTCGCACTAGAGCAGCGTGGTGGAGTATGCGTCCCTCATCAGAATGGAGGCCTATACTCAATAGTGCACAAGGGAAAAGGGCTGTCACGATAATGACGAAAACCTTTATCCGAAAGTTTTAGATTTAGTGTACTAAAACCTAAATTCGTTGATACTTGTCCAAAACAATCCTACACTAACCTTATTTAATTTGTGCTATGATTAAAATTGGCTGGTAGAAAAGTGTTTTTGTTTTCTATTTAGATCATTTTACCTATAATGTCAAACATGTTGCTCCTGGGTGCGCCATTTTTCTTCAAACACGATAATAAAATAATGGAGTTTAGTCAATTTTACTTGTTTTATAATAAAATTTTGATGTCAGTAAGTAACTTTTACCTGTTTGTGATTTTGATGAAATTATTACTAATAACTTATATTAACTATTATTAACTTATATACTTATAACCGACACTATTTCGTAACATATTGAGAAATTTAATAATCTTTAAATGCCAGTTTATTAAGCCTTTAAACTGCATTTAAAATTCATTGGAATTAAATAGTTATGACAAAAAGGCGATTTTTTAGATTTTTTTTCCAGAAATAAAAACTTTAAGGTGAAACCTATGGACTGCTCCCAGCCATTCTCCCGCAAGATGGCGCTGAAGTCAACATTTTTAGTTTATTTGGTTTTTGTTGTAATTGGAAAATTATTAAGTCGTAGGAGTAGACTTTGCGGTTATCGGATATTACATTTTATTGGAATGGGTCATATCATTGCCTCAAAATCCACCCAATTCGACACAAAGTTTGATTATAACATCTGTCATTGAATATAGTGTCGTTTACGCACACAGACGTATCCCTACGTTTACGAAGCTAGAACACTAGATGGCATGTATGTAAAAAACAAGTTTTAATTTTTCTGTTTTTAATTTTTATTATCGTTATAAAAATAAAAGTTATATTTGTTGGCGTAAACTATTTAATTGATTTATAACTTTGGGAAATAAATTATTTCAACATTGATTACAATATAACCCGAAGTTTTATTTTATTACATTACACTATTGAATTTTTTATCAAAACAGAAGTACCTATTTGAAGCAACGTAATTATGCTGATACATGCCTATTCACTCAAAACTCATAACACTCATGATTTGTAACAGTACCAATTATTACAATAATTAGACATTTCATAACCAACTCGTAAGAAACTATAATTCATAAACAAGAGATAACAAGTCAATAACACGATTTATTTTGTGATATTAACCGGGAAGTTTGAAATCAATATTTCCTAATTTCGAAGCACTCAACAAAAGCGTGTTTTGTCTGCGAATGTCCATCCCACGAATATATTTACTAGATTTTCATATTTTACTAGCTTTCTACTTAAGACGGACCACCCATCTTAATGTTTTGTGTGGCTCTCACCATACGGTGATCGCTACCAGTTTTCACAGTCGCGATTACTGAGACATCACTGAATAGTTGTTAATGAAGTCAATCTTATTTTTCGTCGATCCATCAGGGCTAGACCAGGTTTTTTTATAGAATAAGGATGACAAACGAGCACACAGTCCACCTGATGGTAAGTGGATGCTGTGGCCCATAGACATGTACATTTCTCATCGATTAAGAATCAAAACGCAGATGCGTTGTCACCGCTGAGGACTAAGATGGAATGCCTCGTTTTCAGTAAAATACGGTCTCCGGATCTCTCAACTCATCATACGAAACACAGCAGTATAAAGGCCACAGTTCATTAGAGCCACCCGGCACCCGACCCTCACCGCCTCGTCGCCAGGCGTCCACTCGTAGTCAACAGGTCGACCACGGGTGGACGCCGCGTTGTCACCAGTGAACCTCGCGTGGTCATGGAGTGGACCTCGCGTCGTCAACGAGTGGACCCCGCGTGATCTAGGAGTGACCCTTAAATCATACAATAAATTCTACTTCCAAACTTCTTCTATAAGTTTTTCTTTGTTCATTTTAAAAACAAACAACAATGCGTCCGACACATTCGAAACAAAGGCTCGAAATGAAGGGTTGGTGGAGAGCGCCGCATCGCACTCGCATGAACCGCGCGTTGCCAGCTCGTGCTTCGCGCGAGGCAAGCATGCCAATAGCAAGCAATCATCGAGTGGTCCACTCGCAGTCCGCGCGTGGACACCTCGCGAGGGAGGCGATCCGGTGATGGTACGGAGTTGATGTAGTGAGCGCAGGTCAAGAAGGCAGATACAAGTCCATACGAAGAATACGAACCGCTCGAGGCGAGGCGGTGAGGGTCGGGTGCCGGGTGGCTCTAACGACCTGTGACCTTTAAGCTGCTATTTTACGCTGATATTCTGTGAGAGCGTGGTTCTTCCCCGGTCGAGCCGACCCATTCGTGCTACAACCATAATGTAGCTGCAGCGTGGCTCTACTACATATAATAAGGTCCACTTTCTGTGGGACAACCTTCCTCCATGAAGTCTCTCAGGTGTTTATTGCTCTATTACGAACTCTATCAGTTCACCGGCGTTTCTTGTTCATCAACACCGTACAGTGGGTTTTGGAGAAATGTATGACTTTAGAGATATCCTTATAAATTTCCTACACCTCCTCATAACGATGTGACGAGGTTGGTTCATAAGCATGTCTGAGCTTCAACGAATACCGTTTGGTGGTTTTAAGTAAAAGGCACGTAAAACTTGTCGACGCAATTTCGATTTTCACAATGTTAACGAGACTTGTGGGCAATAAATTCGACACCTCCTTGGGACGAATTCGAGGATTACCGTATCCTACCTCTCATCGAACTTTAAATAAATCGATCATATCATATCATGTGTACAGTCTATTTTTACCCAGCTCCAGTATGTTCCCGTCAGATACGTCTTAGTACCCTTTGTCCCGTTGCTAGATATAAGAGGAGGACCGCAGGGCAGTGGGGGCCGTTTTTTTGTCGTCACTCATGGAGGAATGTTGGCTATAGTTGTGACGCTGGGAAGGAAGCAGATTTTTATTTTGTAGTTGTTATTAAGATGCTGGCCACCTCCTGGTTTGCTTCCCTCAGTTGCCTCTTACAATACCCAATCAGACGATGTGGGGTAGTGCATATTCTTTCAACGCCTCTATGCAGTTATAATAAGAACATCATCCTTTTTTGTAGTTACTTCAATTATTTGAAAAATCCTTTTGTAGGTAGATCAACCATAGATCATTACTGGCATCATAATACGATTATGTTTTTATACTGGCTTAACCCTTCGGTTTTAGTTTTGAAGTATACTGAATGAAAAGACACTTAATAACAATTTATAATGTATAACATATTTATTAACAATTAAATGATAATTTATATTTTGTCATTATGTATTGCAAAACTAAGTTGTTAGAGCAGCCCATGGAGAAGACATTGGTGCAGGATTTTGTAAGTATGACATGACAACAGCTGATATGGAAAGCATAAATGAACTTACAATCTCAAAAAAAAATTAAATCTTTAAAATGTATTTTATTATGTAGGTATGTTGTAAGAATTAACAATCCATAAAGTAATATGTATATATGGTAAAGCCAATAGTTTTTTTTATATGGGAAATGCCTATGCATACTCGTTTTGCGGGGCCAGAATGGGTTGTCATCGTGTTCCACTTTTACCGCATATTGGTAGGGCTATGGGAAAGCTTTCTTACTCTACCACAGTACCACCAGTGTTAGCCAACCCTCTACGAGAGAGGACAACTCATCCCCCTTTTCCTTCTCACATATGGCACACCAGGATACTCGGAGCACCTTCCTCCGCGTCGTTATACTCCACCTATGCAGCTGACTCTTCTGAGACCATTACATGGAGGCCATGGGGTCAGGCAAATCGATTACTCGGAAACACTAACCTTCGCGACTAAACTGTCCGATCTGGTATATGGAGTTGCTTCTTATAGAGCCATGTTGCACTATATAATGGTTGTAGCTCAAATGTGTTGGTTCAACTCAGCTAAATGTAAAATAGCAGCTTAATGCTGCTGTTATGAGTGCAGAGAACCGGAGATCCTTTATACTGGATATGAGGAATTTCATCTTTGTCTTCAGAGGTGACAACAATACATCTTGTGATTCTTAATGTGAGCTGTGTGCTCGCTTGTCTCTCTTATTTTTGGCTGCGGAGAGTAGGGAGAGTGGCGCCTCTTGACCGACACTCCTCTCCTCCTGCAGCCCCACCACCACCACCGCATCGACGATGCGGCCCCGCTAGAGTTGTGGTTTGTGGAAGACAGGACATCCCTCCTGCCACAGTCAACAAATGTGCATCCGGAATAGGCTAGCTTGGAGCCGGCCTCACACCATGAGCCAGCCAAGTGGGTTTCTCTGTAGGTTCACCATACCAATGCTAGGATGCACGGCTACGAATACGAAAAAGAGCAAAATTGGCAGATCATTGGCAGGCAGAAAACTATCTTATCTCTTAAGTTGGACCAAACTGCATATGGTGTGCAAATTTGATTAAAATCAGTCAAGTAGTTTAGGAGTCCATCGCGGACAAACAATGTGACACGTAATTTATATATATTAAGATATTGTTTTAGCTTCATGTATTACCTGTTTTGTGTCATCAGAAACTCTTGAGTTAGCAAAACTGATACTTGAACAGAACACAGCCATCCAAGCACACCATTTAAGCCTCATCATTAGACCACACATTGAGAAAATCATTCCTGAAAAAAGATAGATAGAGAAATACAATTTGGCCAAAATAATTAGGCGCATACAGGAATGTGGTTTCGCCGCCTGCACCCTGCTTGAATCCCGGTGCTTCCCTTAGTGACCAATCACTTTTTTTTATTTTTTTTTATAGTATAGGGTGACAAACGAGCACACAGTCCACCTGATGGTAAGTGGTTGCTGTGGCCCATAGACATCTACATCTATCCTCGATTACGAATCAAAATGCAGATGCGTTGTCACCCGTGAGGACTAAGATGGAATGCCTCGTTTCCAGTAAAAAGGGTCTCCGGTTCTCTACACTCACCATACGAAATACAGCAGCATTAAGCTGCTATTTCACGCTGGTATTCTGTGAGAGCGTGGTCCTTCCCCGGTCGAGCCGACCCATTCGTGCTACAGCTATACTACTAATATAACTGCAGCATGGCTCTACCACGTATAAATCACTATTCTGGTGTTCCTCCCCTAATTCTAATGATGTCTTAGCTGTCATGCACCTAATTGTTTTGGTCACACATTACAATGCACTGCACTGTCAATACCTTTAACAAAATGCACTTTAAGTTTGGTAATATAAATAAATAATATTTAAAAATTATGTACAGAAAAACTAACTCAGGTTGCTTATTTCTTAATGGAATTATTTATCCTTTAGGTTTAGGAGATTAACAGTACATTTTTTATAAATCCAATCAAATATATATTAAATAATAGAAATGATTGGCAAAGAGTTGGGGATTTAATCTTTAAAATGTTTGAAATAGTTATATTTATAAAATCACTCTCATTTATAAATATCATTGCATTATAAATAAATATCAACATCTCCATAGATAATTGTATATATACCTCAAATTTAAGTTACCAGAGTTAGTTCATTAAGATGTTAAGATCAATTTTGGTGGTATTTTTGCCTTCATTGTGTTTTATAAGCTGAAAGGCTGAGATACGGCTGGCATGGCAATCTGTAATTATTTCTAGTGTATCTACACGAGCATAAGTTTGGTCTTAAAAGAATAATAATAATAATAATAATAATAATGTCTTTATTTATCCTCTCACATAACATAAAGTAAAACAATGTAAATCTAGTAGTACATATACAGAATTCTATTATGTGAGAAGCTGGTGCCTGAAGTAGGCATATATAAGCCTGTAGTACAAGTCACCAGGTTCCCACCCCTCGAATGCTATGACATTGAATGAAAATATTCTAGGAAAACAATAGATAGATAGATAAACAAAGGAATTCTTATATTATTTAAAATTACAGCGAAAATCCAGGATAAAATACTAATTAAGAGTGTATTATGATATAAAATGTATAAATACATATATGAATGTATAGTACTATATATTTATGTTCGTGTAGTGTAGTGTATAGTTTGCGCATGCACGCACGCGTGCATGTGTGTGTGTGTGTGTGTGTGTGTGTGTGTTTGTGATTTTGGGTGTGTGTGTGTGCGTACATTATATTTATCTTGATAGGAGCGATTCCGTTAAATCATAATCTAATTTCAGTAGCCAATCATGTACGTTTTTTTTGCAATCATATTTATTTTTAGAATATATAGATAGCTTTTCATTTATTTTATTGTACAAGAATCCACCCATGTAGCAAAAGAATTTTTTTGTATATGTCTTCTTTGTTGAATATGTTGCACAAACTGTGTTTTTACGTCTAACTCCTACAAATTTATGGCGATCATAAGTAATTCCACTGTGTTGCTTCAACAAGGTATAGAGAATAAACAGCTGACGTACCGTTAGTACCTGCCAGTGTCGATAAAGAAGTTCAGTTGGATGTCTATAAGAGAAGAATCCGCAAACTTTTAAAATGGCCCTTTGTGATATTTCTACGCGCTTCATACTTGTTTTAGGAGCACCGCCCCACGAGGTGATGCAGTAAGTAAGAAGACTTTGCGCTAGGGCATAGTAGATACGTGTTAAAGCTGTCTTATCTAGCACATGGCGTACATTTTTGAATATGTATATTAATTTAGATAGACTATTGGATAATACTTCGATATGATTTTTAAAAGAAAGGTTGGAATCTATTATTATACCAAGATACTTAATGTTATGGACTAATTCTATTTTGTTACATTTACATGATTTTATATTAATATTTGAGAGACATTTGTGTGAGATCAGTGGTTTATTGATAATATGATCAAGGCGTTCTTTACGTATTGTGAAAGCAATATATTTGGTTTTTTCAGAATTCAAGGTAAGAGAATTACTTTGCAACCATTCATTCATCAAATCAAGCCCTATCTGGGCAGCATCCTGAACAGCTTCCCAGGAATTTGTAGAAAAAAGAAGGCATGTGTCATCAGCATATGATATTATATGTCCATAAGGAAGCTGAATAGAAGTGAGATCGTTTATATAGACGAGAAATAATGTGGGACCTAGAATGCTGCCTTGGGGCACACCGTAGGTAATTAATGCCTCGTGACTAATGTAATCTCCGATTTTAGTACACTGTCTTCTATCAGATAGATAATCTTTAAATAGAGCAAGTTGCTTTCCTCTAATACCACATAATTCCAACTTTTCTATTAGAATGCAGGTAGACACAGTGTCAAACGCCTTGGCGAGATCCAAAAATATTCCAATAACTTTATTATTTTTGTCCAAATTTTTAACTACGTAATCTGTTAAGTCGTGCACTGCTTCATCAGTGGATCTGCCCTGCCGAAAACCAAACTGGTTAGGGGATAGAAGTTTTTTACTTTCTAAGTAGTTCGTGAGTTGTTTGTTTATAATTCGTTCAATTATTTTCGAAAAACATGGAAGAATTGAGATCGGTCGATAGTTGCCGACATTTTCTCTGTCTCCAGATTTATAAATTGGATGAATAATAGACCGTTTAAAAACTTGAGGAAATACACCTTCATTAAAACAAAGATTACATATATATGTCAATGGCCCAACAATATATTCTTTAATTTTATTTATAAAACAGTTAGAGATATTGTCCCATCCATTAGCACATGTGTTTTTTAGGCTCATGATGAGTCTGGAAACTTCTTCTTCGTCAGTTTCGAGTATTACAAAGGACGACGTACAGTTCTGTATTGATCTAATTGCTAAAGAACTTGTAACCCTTTCCTTAACTGCAATATTATCAGCAAGTTGTTTACCTACATTTACAAAATAATTATTAATTGAATTGATAGCCTCTTGAGGTTTCTTCGCGCTGTTAAGCAGTTCGGTGGAATCAGTTTTCATTTTCGTGGTATTTGATATCTCTTTAATGGTTTCCCAAAGCTTTTTATTATCTTTACCTGCTTTACTAATTTTATCTCTATAATAAGCCATTTTAACTTTTTTAATCATGGAGTTACAATAATTTCGATATCTAGTATATGTTATTTTTATGATATTATTGTCAGGAAAAGATTTATATTTTTTAAATAAATTATCACGATTTCGTATACATTTTAAAATTCCTACTGTAATCCAGGGTTTAATAGGTCTTAAGCGGTTCGAAATTGTAGCTTTAATTGTATTCGCTATTAATAATTGTTGGAAATATGATACAAAAAGTGTAGCAGCCTCATTTGCGTTAGAACATTTGAATACAAAATCAAAGTTATTTTGTTCTAATTCTAGTTTAATTTTGTCATAATCAATTTTTGTTCGAGTTCTAGATGTTAAATTATTTTTTTGCTTGGTGTTTAAACATAATATCACAGCTTGATGGTCAGTTACCGTCGAATTACACACTACTGTAGTGGCTGCCATAGTTGACCGCATCATAACGTGATCTAAACAAGCATTGAGCCTAGTAGGCATATTATGAGCAGGAAGAAGTCCGTGAAATGCATTTAGATTAAGATACTCAGTTGATCTGTTATCCGTTGTATAATTTGCTATATCTATATTTATATCGCCCATCACAGATAAGTTTTTATGGGAAGACAACGACGTAAGAATTACATTTAAAGATTGTAAAAACAAGTCTACATTTTGAAAACTAGGCGAACGATAAATTGCAACTATAGCAATACTTTTGTGTTTTATTACCACACAGTTTCCTTCAGAAAACATGGGTTCCGTAATTAAAACCCCAATATCATTTTTGTAATAAATTACGATACCATCATTTTGGTTATAGGTCTTTATAGACTTGTAATATGTGTAGCCAGGTATTTGTGGTATTATGGAATTACACAATAGCCAACACTCGGTTAAAATAATAATATCACATTGTATTCTAATTTGCGTTAAAAGAACTAGGAAGTCATCTATATTACGTGAGATACTGCGAATGTTTTGTTGTATTATTGTGAGGCATGTACTTTCGTCAATATTTAATAAATAGAAGTTTTGTGTATCGCATCTCGCCGTATCCGATACAGTAACATTGTCAACATTCTGTGTAATTTCATTTAAATTATTGAATTTTATAAAGAGATAGCTGCTTATTCCAATCAATTGATGCCGATATATTATACATAAGTAATGAATATTGTGTAAAAAATAAACCAAAGTATATTATTATAAGAAAGTAATAACGAATTTTAAACACAAAAAGTCTAAAAATACTAAACAAGGTTAGATGCACTATTATTTTGTTGATATTCCTAATTTTTTTTATTTTATTAAGTAGTAGGTAAGATGAAAGTGCATGCCTTATATAATTTGCGGGTATAGTAACCAATGGACGCTCTAAGATATACATTAAAGAATGTTTTAAAATAATTGAGATAGTAAGGTGGTAAATACTGCTGGTAATTTCAGTAACACATATTCCAGTGCATCGTATAGCTCATGTTCAGGCCCAAGGTATTTTACGCAGCTAGATGGGTAGGGTCGATGCGCCGGTAAGCCGGCCGGGTCTAGATTTCGGCCTTTAGCACGAGGTGATGCAGTACATTTGATTTAATAACAATTTTAATAAATATTATCGTACGAAATAAAGTTTAATGCATTTGTAAATAGTTGCACTATATCTGGTAGCATTAATTAATCAGGTAAACACCACACGCGATTTATAATAAATAGTTTAGTTCGACGCCGGCACAGAAGCTGTCAAAACGGGTAAGATCGAACAAAAAAAATTGTGGCGCGCGTTCCCGTCCATTTTATTAAACAGCTCCGCAGTCAACGGAGTATTAAGGTTAGAGTCTCCGCAGCTGAAAGGATAAGTAAATGGCTTCAGAAAATGCGGACTTTATTAAATAGATCTCAATGCAGTGGATTACTCAAATTGAGTCCAGCAAACCCTGAAAAGACTAATCAGTGATAATTGAAAGAAAAAATAAATATTTCTAAAATTTAAAATCTACTTTGGCAGAAAAAAAAAACATAAAAGTTGCTATTATAGAGAATGAGATAAGGAAATAGTAAAGAAAGTCTTCTCAGATCAATATTGTTCCACACAGACAGGCCAACGACGACTTGGAAATTCTCCAATTAAGCAATATAAGACCGCCAAGTCCATTTAAGTCTCCAGAAAGTCTGTGCAACACAGACCAAGATAAAAATATTCTAACTCACGATGTTGTGGCAACTATTTATTCATCTACCGATGCATCAGAATCGTTAATCGACAACAAAAATTTTAACATTGCATTTGTCAGGAAGTTATTTGGATATTTGTTATATGATGTTCTTGTAATCCAAACTCAAATAAGCCTACCAACGATAACAGTACTGACAATGCCTGAAATGATAATAGATTTCAGTAATGAAACAATAACGACTCAAATGACTACGATGATACCACTACAAACACTGATGATAACAAACAAGATCTCTGAAACTTTAAAAAATGTGTGGGTTTATATTCCAACTAAACAGACTAGTACACCTCTACAAACTAGTGGAACATTGGTCTCAGTACTATTAAATAAAGAATATAGTGATGCAATAGAAAAAACATTTAATTAAACCGTAACTCGTAAAAAAAATTAACTGCTTACAGTACATGTGCACCTTCTTCTGCAGAAATTTCATCTGCGGTGTGGCGAAAATTTTATGAACATAAGTGAAACTTAAAATAGAGAAGTAAGAACTAAAATATTTATAAAACGAAAAAATAGAAAAAGAAAAATTAAAGAGTGCTAAAGTTCAAATCCAAGAAATCTATGAAGGATAAAAGGGTAAGAGTAAATTGCGCTTTGTGTCATAATATTTTAATAAACGATACAAAAGAAGATCTGGAAAAAATATTGGATGTGATATGAAAAAATCAATTTTAAAAATCAAATTAAACGCAATAAAATCCGTAAAAAGTAGTTTTCTTCAATGTGTAGTGTTCACGTAATAATAAGAAATCATTATATTGGGTGTGACTTTTGCACCAAATGGATTTGAGATGTACTTATGGTTAGAGATGGTAACAGATTTTGTTGAACTAAAATACTTATATGAGGAAGTACAAAATACTCGTAAATGAGAAGATTTGATTGCTATATTTAAAAGATTTATTTAGAAATTTATTGTATATCAAAACCACCCCCAAAATGAAAAAAATCAACAAAACTAAATACACCAATTTCCCATACCGTTTTGTCATTTTCTGATTTTACAAAAACACTCTTAAGTTTGTACTACCTCTTCTAATACAGTGGCCAAAAACTAAAATTCTTGTGGGCCGAAATCTAAAATTTGGGGCCGAAAACTAGCGTTTTGCATATTTTTCACATCAAAAATTATTATAAAAAATAGATTTCTTTTGTAGCATCAATGAGTTATAAAAATGAAAACTACATTATATAAGCTACAAATTAACATTAACAGCACTAGGTCAACATAATGGCTATTATTTTTTATTGTACCTTAAAATTGACAACTCCACTAAAAGGCCGAAAACCAGCTCATCGACCCTATCGAAATGTTATTTAAATAAACTTTAGGTAGACTTGATAAATTAATTTTAGACAACATTCTGTAACTATGAGTATAGCACAACACTTTATTGGGTCAACAAACTTTTCTTGTCTTTTTATCATTATGTTGGATGTTGTAACTACAAACTAAGTTATAGTTAGTACTGGACCTGAAATTAAAAAAAAATAAATATACAATCAAACTTTACCAAGAATATTCATGTAGTCAGTAGTAAGATCTTCCGCTGGCGCTGAAGTTGCTGGAGGAGGTTTGAAGCGGCGTTCACGATCAGCACGTCTTGGATCAGCGTTAAGTTGCATCTGAAAACGGCATAGGAATAGTAATAACACTGGTGAATACGATACGAATTACTGTTTAAGTGTGCAATACTAATTGCTTCATTTTAAGTACCTTTTCGGTTTTTATAATTGGGCCACAAATTATTAAAACCGTTTAAATCTTTTTGCAAATAGCTTAAGTTCTTTGATTTAAAGCAAATCACATAAAATAGTGATATGACAAAGGCACTTTTATTATATCTTTTATATTATGTGTTCAATTTTATAAAAGTTGTGAATATTTCAATCACAGATCTAATTTGAAACTTCAATCAGGCTGGTGCAACTCTCATAGTAAAAATTAATAAAATTATATGTATGAAGCGTGATCAAAATTTTTTTTACTTTTCGTAATATGACATTGTCATTCATGGTCATTTGTCATTGTCTTTGACCGTGCCATTTCCGTATATATTAGAGGTGGGCGATGCAAACCGTATACTGATCGAAACATATTGGTACAATATCTAAAAACCGCTTACTGGTTCGTTCCAAAACTATGTATTACAAAATCTGATATATAAAAAAAAAAAAAAATACATAGCCGCTATACCTATATCGCTCCGCATCGGTCGGTCGCTAGATTCGCCGTGTGCGACAGTGCGCGAGTATATGGGTATTAGATTAGACATGTCGGAAAATTAAAATCTTATATTTGTATACTCGACTAAATAATAAAAACACAATTTCACTAAATCTTAATTAACTTCCCTAGTATTTATTTTTCCAACTTTTTAAATATATCTCTTAAAATATTTTGATAAAAATGTGAAATAAGTAATATTAAACTGACGCGCTTCGTTAAAACTACTAAAAAAAAAACAATACCTGAGCCAATATCGTAAGAACAAAGTACAAAGTTTAACATCAACCACTAATTAATTAAGTCAAAAGCGTTTTCAACACTTCAAAAGATTTAACGGCAAACGATTTATTTTTATGATAATTTTCAACCACAAGTTCAGTATATTGCGTATAAGTATAAATATTGCATATAAGTTTAACTTTAAGTATAGCAAATAATTATTACAATCCTTATTTTTAGACATGTGAAACCTAAATTTTAATGAAATAAATCAAAAGAGTAAATGGTTGTACTTATGTTTAAAAAAATACTTTCTTTGGAAAACTGATTTGTAAACCGCCATCTACTCCATTCTTCCGCCTACTTCAAGTCATTTTATCGAACGAAAATTGATTAGATCTCAAGGTGGTACTTAAAGATGAAGCAAGATGGCATAAATACGGCTAAGTAAGAAGTCGATTGTGGATGATTTTGAATCACAAACTTATATACGATTTCAATAGCGTATCGGAGTAGAAAATAGTATAAACGCGTACGCAGAATATATAGATATTGAAATATATAGTTTTGACATCAGATATTGAAACTCGAAATCTGATATAGATACGATTCTCAGAAAACGCGATACGACCCAGGCCTAGTATATATTAATATACTCTTTGGTCATTGTCATTTGTGTAGACAGAGAAACTGTCTACGGTCATTTGTTTGTCAAATCAAATAATTTATTTTTTATTTATTTAACTGGCTTTACGGCTCTGGGTTCTAGCCCTTCTGAATATATCATTTCTTTTGTAAACTTTTTTATATATTTGTTCTTCACATTATGCTGATGCGTCACATTGCAAAGTTTTTGGGAGATTTTGACGACAGCTCAACCCAGCGGATAGTTGATGACGACAGTCAATCAAGTTCCTAAGCCCCCAAGCGATCGAAATAACTTGAGGTTTACATCAACATTAAATCACTCGTTCCGTCGTTTTTCTAATAATTCACACGCACAGACACTTAATTCATAAAATCTCATCACTTTTACCAATCAAAATCCACTTCAAACCATTATTCAAGCGACAAAACAGGAGCGACAATCCGTCTACGGCCAAGTTCGCGCCGAAAACTCACCATCAACCTAAACGAGTAAGTGTCATAAGAGCGGGATATAAAAAGCCCAGAAGTTAACTTATTTATTTAATACTATTTGAATTAAATGAGTATCAAACTTGGAATAATAACCATTGAAACTCATCCTACCTTAATTAGCCTCTTGACAACCTCCAATAATAAATTAATAATTAAAATTAATAATAATTAGTAATGTTGATTAAAACTAATTTTACGGATTTTATCGCGTTTATTTTACTTTCAATTACTTTTACTTTTAATTCCCAACGTTTCGGGCGCTTTCCAGCACCCACGGTCACGGGGGACTGACATGACTGACGTCCCGATGTCATTGTTAAATCCGGAGTACCTTCAGCTTTTTTAATTATTGTTTACTAGCTGTTACCCGCGGCTTCACCCGCATGGTCACTGGGAAATGAAGTATCCATTGCTTTTTGAATTGAAAGAAAACTGAGTTTTATAGATTTGTCAGAGATGCAGCCATTAAAAGGAAACTGAGCAAAATTGATTCGTCAGCCTATTTAAATGTTTTGAAACGCAGAGTATAGGAAAGCATGAATAGCCTGTTTATTCCAAATGGAAATGGGATATTTTTTTAATTAAAGGAAACTGAGCATAATTATCTGTCAGGGATGCAGACTTTTGAAAAGAAACTGAGCTAAATTGATTCGTCAGAGATTTTCTGAATTGAAAGGAAACTGAGACAAATAAAAGATCCGTCAGAGATGCAGCCTTTTGAGTTGAAAGGAAACTGAGCTTAATAGGTCCGTCAGAGGTGCAGCATTTGGAATTGAAAAGAAACTGAGCTAAATAGGAAATTTTGAATTGAAAGGGAAGATCTGTGGGAATTCTGATTAATTGATTGTGGGAATTTTGGAAAAAAAAATAACTGAACACTATTTTAAGACGCTACTGTACACAATGTTATATGTTTTTCCATTCGGGGAAAGAATGTGGAGATCCTGGGCATTTGACACACGCGAACATGCTACATACAGCTAACCATGAAAGAAGCACGGTTTTTCTAAGTTGAACCCCGCTACCTATAACGTTTGCCCTTGCGCTTTATTAATTGTCATTGCAAAATTGAGCTTAATAGGGAACTGCAACCTTTTGAATTGAAAAGGAAGATCTGTGGGAATTATAGGGATCCGTGGTATAATAACATTTTCACCTTTTCCTACGCCTGTCAAAATGTGTCACACGCAGCCTTGTTCCGTTACATAACCGAGGAGCATCTAAATTTCGCATTAGCATGACTGGGACGCCTAATTTTAATTGAAGCTTATGTGAGGGCACACCTGACAATTCTACAGAATTTAGAAACTTTTTACTTATTGTTTATGGTCCGATATATGCAAAATGAACTGACTATGTCCTGAGGTCTTGCAGTGGTATACTTGGGTTTAGTTTTAATTTTATTGATTATAGGATCCCAAGCTAGTGGTAGCACCCAGCCTCCTTCTCTATTGAAATTAGGATGTTTTTTAATTTGAATAGCCCTACGTATCATCCTTGGTAGGAATCGGTGTTCTTTCGCGAGGATTTGTGGTCTATCAAATCTGATGTAATGGTTGGGGCACTTCCCGGAACGTTGATGATTCACATCAATAATTAGTAATAATTAATAATTACTTCCTGGCGAGATCGGATGATCCATTCTATAAGGACGTCATTTTTTGTGATAAAGGACTTACCCCTCTATCCTTAGCCAACGAGCAATGGCAAGACCTGGCAGTGCAGAGCATTTCCGACCGGGAGATCTTATGGAAGGAGAAGGAGCTCCACGGGAGGTTCTACAAGGCTCTACAAGAGCCTTTCGTAGACACAGTAGCCTCCCTCCACCTCCTTGGTGACCTCTTCGGGGAAAAAGGGTTTTGTCTGTGCAATACAGGATCAGGTTATTAAGACCAACAACTATCGGAGATACATCCTAAAGAATGGCACCGTCGACATTGTCGAGCTTGTCGCCATCCCGGCGAGTCACTTAGGCATGTCATCTCCGGTTGTTCGGCGCTTTCTAACTCTGAGTACTTGCACAGGCACAAACTAGTAGCCAGAATTCTTCACCAGGAGCTCGCTCTTAAATACGGTCTCGTGGACCGGAAATTGCCGTATTACAAGTACTTGTCGGAAGCCGTGCTCGAAAATGATCGCGCCCGGCTCTAATGGGACCGGGCCATCATCACAGACAGGACTATTCTTGCGAATAAGCCTGATATTGTGCTGATGGACCGGGCACAGTCAAGGATATTTTTGGTCGACATTACCATTCCGTATGACGAGAACCTCGTGAAAGCCGAAACAGAGAAACGAACAAAATATCTGGACATGGCTCACGAAGTGACCGACATGTGGGGTGGTCTGCCAACTGAAATTATTCCTGTAGTCGTTTCTGCAAACGGGCTAATAATCCCAGTCAGCTTCTCGGGTCATCTGAAGAGGCTGGGACTCCGTGACGGACCGCTCCAGGCTCCAAATGCAGAAGGCGGTGCTCCTCGATACCGCCCGCATCGTCCACCGGTTGCTCTCCCTTTCCCCCTAACCCTCGGCCGTTTGGTCTCCCCTGCCGAGGGCCTACATCTGGTTGGGCTTATATTTATTTATGTATTATTTATTTATTTGTGCTGGTATATGAAGTATATATTTATGTATATTTATCATTTCCTTTTATATATTTATTCAGCCCAACCAGATGAGAATACACTATTAATAATTAATATTTGTAATAATTTATAATCATCATCATCATCATCATTACAGCCCTTCACAAGTCCACTGCTGAACATAGGCCTCCCCCAAGTAATGCCACAAAGCACGGTCCTGAGCCACCTGCATCCATCGACTTCCTGCATGTCTTACCAGGTCGTCACTCCATCTAGTGGGGGGTCGCCCTACACTACGCCTACTGGTACGAGGCTGCCACTCGAGAACCTTTCTTCCCCGTCGGTTTTCG